CTTTCAACACGGAAAGTCACAGTATGCCCAGAACTTGGAAAACTTCTAATGATTAATACACACAGTTCCTTTCAACATGGAAACTCACAGTATCTCCAGAACTTGGAAAACTTCTAATGATTAATACACACAGTTCCTTTCAACATGGAAACTCACAGTATCCCCAGAACTTGGAAAACTTCTAATGATTAATACACACAGTTCCTTTCAACACAGAAACTCACAGTATCCCCAGAACTTGGAAAATTTCTAATGATTAATACACACAGTTCCTTTCAACACGGAAAGTCACAGTATCCCCAGAACTTGGAAAACTTCTAATGATTAATACACTCAGTTCCTTTCAACACGGAAACTCACACTATCCCCAGAACTTGGAAAACTTCTAATGATTAATACACAGTTCCTTTCAACATGGAAAGTCACAGTATGCCTGTAATTATTAATACACACAGTTCCTTTCAACATGGAAACTCACAGTATGCCAGTAATTATTAATACACACAGTTCCTTTTTATGTGTAAAGTCACAGTATCCCTAGAACTGATGATAACTGTGTTGCCAAAACTAGTCAGCTGTAACTAATAATAAAGATTTTACCTTTTTCATTGTGCCAAAAAATGTGTGTTTTTTGCTCAGTATATTAGCACAATGTGCCTCAAAAGAAATTAAGATCAGATAATAATTTATTTTGTTTGATAATTTATAAAAACGTAAAGAGGTCAGATAAAAGTTATTTAGTAATGTCTAAAAGCATAAAGAAGTCAAGTATGGAGGCCTAGTATTTTCAATCCTCAGATTATTGATTTGTTTATATGCCTTTCACTGTCATTGAGGTCCATATATTGCATCTTATAATTTCACATTTTTATCTGTTATAACACTGTAAAGAATTGACCACAAAAACTTGGTGAAATCATTAATTTTGTATAAAGGACCCCAATAGTAATTTATGAGATTAACATGTAATATTGGGAGTATTTTGCTTACACTTTATTAATGTGACTAGTGACTCCTGTAACCCCTGTAGTAATTTGTGGGATTAACTTGTAGTATTGGTGGTATTTTGCTTACACTTTATTAATGTGACTAGTGACTCCTGTAACCCCTGTAGTAATTTGTGGGATTAACTTGTAGTATTGGTGGTATTTTGCTTACACTTTATTAAAGTGACTAGTGACCCCTGTAGCCCCAGTAGTAATTTGCAGGATTAACTTGTGATATTGGTGGTATTTTGCTTACACTTTATTAATGTGACTTGTATGTGATTAGTGACCCTGTAACTATCATTAGTGACTCCCATAACC